CTCGATCTCCTGACCTCGTGATCGGCCTGCCTCGGCCTCCCAAAGTGCTGGGATTACAGGCATGAGCCACCGCGCCTGGCTTCCAGTTCTTTACTGTTGCCTCTTGGAGCAAGCTGACAGGTAAGAGCTGAAGCGGCCCTTGTATGTCCTATGTCCACAGAAGTGGGTGAAGACTGCAGGAAGAGAGAAAGATGAAAACAGGCAGAATGAGGAGCAGAGACAAGAGGCCACAGGGTCTAGGGGAGAAGGGGAGAAGTGTGGAAGGAGGAAAGAGAGAGAGAGAGCATGCACATGCACCCTTAGTTTTCATAAGCCACTCCAGGATCCTCCCATTGAGCCCCGCTTTCTGCTAAGTCTGATCTAAGACGTCTGTTCTTTCGGAGCTCTCCTAGGCTCACAGATGCTTCTCATATCCCATCTGATACAAGCATCCTAGTTGCTCTTTCCACAGATGCAGGAATAAGGCTCAGAGTAGTTAAGTGTCTGGTTAAGGGCACAGAGTTGGCCAGCATCAGAGTCAGGATTGAAAGCCTAATCAGCTTCCCTATGGAATGGACACAGACCTGGGAGTCAGAAGACTTTTATTGGAGGAGCAGTTTTGCCACTCACCAGCCAGGTGCCCTAATCCAGTCCCTCAATCACAGAGCACTCTGCTTGCCTGTTCTGTACAACAGATTAGTGTCCCCTCTTCCATCTCACAGGGTTATTGGATGAAATACTCCATGTGAATGAGCTGTTTAAATTGCAAAACACTATAAATACTAGCCATTATTATGAGTTCACACAGCTTTGTATGTCTTTGCCCATTTTATGAGACTTTTTTTTCTTTTCTGAGACAGAGTCTCGCTCTGTTGCCCAGGTTAGAGGGCAGTGGTACAATCAGCTCACTGCAACCTCTACCTCCTGGGTTCAAACGATTCTCCGGCCTCCACCTCCCATAAGTAGCTGGGATTACAGGTGTGCACCACCACACCCAGCTAATTTTTTGTATTTAGTAGAAATGGGGTTTCACCATGTTGGTCAGGCTGGTTTCAAACTCCTGACCTCAGGTGATCCACCCTCCTCAGCCTCCCAAAGTGCTGGGATTACAGGCATGAGCCACCGCACCCAGCCACTTATGAGATTTTAAAGTTGAAAATCCCATAGATAGGAACCATGTCTACTTGAATGCCCCAAAAGCACCTGGAAGTCAGCTGTTCCTTGAAAAATGTTAAATAACTCCAAGTTATTTAAAAAAAAAAAAAAAAAAAAAAGCAAGCACATTTACTTTTCTAAAGCAGAGGACACAGATTTCAAAAAGAATAAATATGCTGAGAAATTAATCATTCTCTTAACTCACGTTCCCTATTATTCTTTGGAAAACTTGGATGGCATTTGGGGTGATTCACGAGGAAGAATAATTAATGTGTCTTATGTAATTTCTTCAAGTAGCTATTAAAAACACAACAGAATAACATGTGTTTTTCCATTCTCTGAAAATCAAGAAATACAGAGCTGTTTTTACTCCAACTTTTCCAAAACAAATCACCTTTTGTGATGAAAAACGTTGCCCTAAGGAGAGAAATTTTCAGGAAAATTATGAGTGAGCGAAAGAAAACAGAGCACAAAATAGAAGTCCTATTTAATGAGAACAAGAACCTCGACCAGCAAGCCTAAGTCACTTCCAGCCTGTGTCACTCAGCTGTCTCTCCTCTTGTGAGCACTGGAGCCTGACAGACCTCAGTTCAAATCCAGCCATGCTTGATATTGGCTGAATAACCGCAGATGTCACTTCGCCTAAGCCTCAGTTTCCTCATCTGTAAAATGGGAGTGAAATGCCTTCCTCGTGGGCTTCCGGAAAGATTACATGAGATTGTGTACTTAAAGGGGCCTGTGATATTATAAACTTTAGTTTGTCATTTCTTTGGTTGTACTCAACATGGGTAATCCCAATTAACATGTGACACTGCCCTGCAAGGAACACTGTCTTTCTAGCGATGCCTGTTGGAAAACTCTAGTCCCTAAAACTGAGATTTTAGGCCCCTCATTCTGGCATCTAACAGGACAGGAATTTGGTTTAGAAAAGTAAAATCATTTTGTTTTCTCACTTTATCTATTGTTTGAAATGACATTGTCAAGTGTAAAAGAGGGGAAGGAAACCCACATATTATATGCATGTCACAGGTGCATGTGGTGTTTGTAAGGTGGGTAAGGTAGAGAGAGGAAGGAGATAGGCAGGAGTGGACTGAGAAACACAGAAAAAGAGGACTTCAACTTTATCTTCAAATTTTTTAATTTCATGGGTATAAAAATATTTGAAGCAAATAAAATAAAATGTTAACAGCAATTTAAGGCAGTGAGTATGTGGATGTTTGTTTTGATATTCTCTGTACCTTTCTGCATTTTTCAATATCAAAATCATTTCCAACTAAACAAATTATTAATGATCATAACAGTAATGTATTTTTTCATGGAAAGAACTTCATCAATATCCTGACCACCCTAATAATTGGTGTAACTTATATCCTGTTTCTTTTTGTTGTCGTTATACATGGGTAAAGTCACTTTACAGAGTATAATGTATAATCCATTTCCATTTAGGAATATACCAGGGTGGCCGGGAACAGTGGCTCACACCTGCGATCCATTGGGAGGCCAAGGCAGGTGGATCTCTTGAGGCCAGGAGTTTGAGACCAGCCTGGGCAATTATGACAAAACCTCATCTCTACAAAAAAACACAATAATTAGCCAGGCATGGTGATACGTGCTGTAGTCCCACCTATTCAGGAGGCTGAGGTGGGAGGATTGCTTGAGCCCAGGAGGTTGAGGCTGCACTGAGACATGATTGCTCCTCTGCACTCCAGCCTGGGTGACAAAGCAAGACCCCATCTCAAAAAAAAAAAAAAAAAGTAGTATGCAAGGATGGCAGAGAAGCTGCCCGGAGGATGAGACAGAAATGAGATCACTCACATACAAGCAATTTGACACCTTCAGCCTCAAGTCTAGTCAGCTTCAGGGATTGTTGTTATTGTTTTGACCAGCTTGGTTTTTGAGTTTGCAAGCTCCCCATCATAACATAATATCTTCCTGCTTTGGCTCTTTGGTTAGCTCTTCGTCGGTCATAGATGATTGATTCATTCTACACATGCGTATTGGAAACCTCTACTTTCCAGGCCCTGTGCTAGGCCCAAGGACACTGAATGAGTCAGGCCAGGAGGCTGCCCTCACATAACTCATGGACAAACCTGAGAGATGGCCAGGTAAGCAGCCCACAAGAGGTCCTACAAGGTGATGAGGTGCAACGATGGAGCAAGGCAGAGGGTGCATGGGCACAGGGGTGGCTGGGGGGTAAAGGAAGACTCCCCAGAAGAGGGGATAACTAGAAAGAATCTGGAAGGAAAGGGAAGAATTTGTTAACCTCTAAAACTTAGGAGTTTTATGTTTTTAAATCCAGATGTTTGTGCTTATCTTTAAAAAATCCAAAGATCTGGCAGTACTTGGGAAGAGCCCTATAGGGCAGAAATTGGCCATACCTGAGTGGAAGACTGTGTTCCTGAGTGAGATGCAGTGATCCTGCAGCCAAGCCCTGTCACACTCAACTGACACCATATGGGCCAGGGGCCTTCCCACGCCTCTGTGATTTCTCTCAGCTTTGGGGAAAGAGCACATTGGCTCCTCCAGGCAAAGGAAAGGATTTGGGAGGTTCCGTCCAAGGCTCTTCCAGAGCCAAGATTGATTTCAGACTTTACCCTTTGGGAATAAATCCAGAGCTCTTGCCTCTAGGCCACGCCCACTGCCTCAAGCCGGAGAAGTCTACCTAATGGTGATACTGGGCACCATGGGAAGCCAGTAGGGGAGATGGTTTAGGGTGAGCAGCTAATTTGGTTCTTTTTAGATGATACCTCAGAGCATACTTCCTTTCCTATGGCCCCACGGAGAGTTGTTCCTGGGTAAATGAGAGGAAAGAGGATAGTTAACTTCTCACACCCATGTGAGCTGAAGGGAGATGATATTCAAGGAGGGTGGCCAAGAGATGCCTGGATCCCTTATTGATAGAAAGCCTACAGAGTAAAACTGTCATGCCCTCAAACCTAATAAGATGTTTTGTCGCTGTGTGTGCTGTTCAGTGGTAAGTACCTACCAGGCATTATTCCAGCGTGGACCATCTGATCCTCACGGGAACCCCGGGAGGGAGGCTTTCTAACCAGTATGTTAGACATGAGCAACTGAAGCTCGGAGAGTACATGTGGCTTGTCCAGGGTCAGGACCTGGTTGTCTAACTTAGAGACCTAAGACCTTCCTACTAATAACCACAGTCAACTGCCACCAACTCCTGGGAACCTCCAGATACCAGCCTAGGAAGATAGCTCCAACTTGGAGAAAGCTTTATTATGTACAAAATTCACCCCAGGACTGTGTATACTATTAGAGAAGTTTTATGTCATATTTTCATATTTTACGTAATCTAATACTGCCTGGCCCAATGTGGGCCCTTCAACAAACACCTTTCAGATGAAGAGACAGGAAGTAGTTAAAGAAATGATGGGCTTTAACTGTTGAAGGAGGTGAAGTACATCTCTGGTTACTTGGAGAATTTGATGCCCTTTACTAAGTGCACTAAAGAAGAGTTTGTGGTCATATCTTAAGGGCTTGTTATAATATTATAGGAAAAAAACAAGGTACATGATTTATGTATTATATGATCCCAATTATGTTTAAACAAACACATTTCATGTGGGCAAAACGAACGCAAGACAATGTGACATAACAGTCTACAGTCACTGTATTTGACTGTTAGTTTTAGACTAATGAAGATTTAATTTTTTCTTCTTTCCTATTTTCCATATATTCAATTGTAAGTGTGGATCATTTTTATAATAAAGAGGAAACAATTTATTTAAAAGAAAACCTGACTTTTTAGAATTCCATTCTCAGACGATGAAGACATGGAACTGGAGTATACTGAGAAAAGTGGCCCGGACAAACAGTCCGTCCAGGAAGCAGGTGCCAGCGAAGGCGCAGCTGCTCTGGGTCAAGGGCTCACAGGAGACAGCAGAGTGGACAACAGGGACATCTGCAAGGGAGAAGAATGTTTTTTATCAGGGTATGGTACAGAATGGGCCTGTGGCTAGGCAGGAGTGGGTGGCCACAGAAACACACATGGAGTAAACAGACAGGCATTTATTGAGCACCTACCTCGTGCTACTGTTAGGGAAACAGGAACCTAGGAGAGCCAGAGTGACCTCGTTTTAAAAATCAACTCCATCTTAAAACTAGCAGGCACATTCCATGCCAGTCATACGGTCGTAAGATAGTTACAGTTGAGGAAACAGCTTAAAGATGCCTTCAAGGACACACTCCTACAACTACGGAAAGTCCAGATGTCCCAAACCCATAACAAGTTGTGCTTTTAGGATGATTACAGTTACGCTTTGATCTACGTGCACGCTAACACGTCAAGAATAGTTTTCTTTAAATCAATAGAACAATCAATTTTGTCATGCTGTCTGCTTACCACACGTAGACAGAGCTTAGTTTAGTCTTTACATAGACAAGAAGCCTATATGAGAAAAATTTAAAGACAGTGCATTCCTCCAGTTGCTTTCTGAGGATGCCCTACTCTGTAACGGAATAGCTTTCCATGAACTACCTCTTCTCACTGCACTCTGCGACTCACCTTGAATTCCTTCCTGTACGAGATCCAAGAACCCTCTCTTGGATCAAGACCCCTTTTCCGGTAACACGATTATGTTCTCACTGGGCATTTACGATGTATGGGACACTGTGTCCATATTATCTCATTTAATCCACACTACAATACTGTAAGTTTTATTGTTTCAGTTTGACAGATTACAAAATAACTGATTTGGAGTCGTTTTAGAGGGGCAAAAAAAAAAAAAAAAACCACCTGAGAATTGATTGGCAGCAGGAATTCCTGGACCTAATTATCTGTCAGAACCCTGGGATACTTTTTTTAAAGCATAGAGACATCACACAGCTAGCAAAAGTAATATTGTCATTAAAACAGCACCGTGTAAAATGTAAAATGAACAAAAAAAGCCACTTCTCAGAAACTGACTTCAAAGTTATTTTTCAGAAATTAGAACAAATAAAATAAAAACAAGTCAGGAAAATCACAATTAATCCAAAATGAAGACATGGAAGGTCCAGGGCTCAGTCAAAGGAGGTAGAAATGGTCAATTTATTGCAATTATGCCCATTTTCCATCCCTTAATCTAGATGCAAGCTGTCATTTTATTGGCTTGTCAACCTTTAGACAACGTGACCCTGTTCCTCATTTATTCAGTCATCTCTCCAGCCCCAGCACTCTAGCCAGAGGAAAGCACATGGCCCCACTAACTCATCTTTTTTCCTAGGGCTCCTCCGTTTGCATTTCATTGCCCAAGGAGCTCTTCATTTCTCTACATGATAACTTTTCATTTTCTAGCATCCCTCAATTCCATGTTTGCCCACCACCCCAGGAGCAAACACTTTGGAATCAGCCTGAGGTTTGGTTTTAAGCCCACCAGGGCTATACACTTCCATAGTTACCTTGGATATTTGAGCTCTTAGAGCCTTGGTCTCCCAGTCTATAAAATGAGAAGATGGGAATAACAAAATTACTATTTTTTGCAGTAAGTAAATAAGATTATGTATGTTAAGTAACCAGCATATAGTAAGCACTCAATAAATACTGGCTTTGTCCCCCTGACACCGTGTGTGACACACATATCATTGCTGCAGCTCGGGATACTTTACTAGTTATCATTCAAAGTGCCACAAAAGATTACAAGTACTTTAAGACTTACAGAAAACAAAGGGGGAAATAGTTCTCAAAAAATAAATAGAAAAGTAATGTTTTCTCTTTTAAAATATCAGAATTGGGAATCGTAAGAAACATAACTGGAAATGGAGTTGGATATGAATCCAGAACCTAAAGGCGTTGAGTTCTCCAAAAAGAAATCTGTGTCCCTTTGCTTAACTAAGCTCTTTCTAAGCTTATTTGACCACAGAAACTTTTGTCAAGTAGTACCCATTAATTTCCAAGGATTTCGCATGACCTGAAAACACTTTTGGAACTGTTGCTAATTATTTTCAGAATATTTGTAGCTATCACTGGTCAAGACGACCCCGTGCTTTAGGTATTTCAACAACCTCATCTCTGCTCACACATACACTACAGCCATTGTCCATATGAGGAAACAGCCTCTAAGGAGTAGCTCAGCCTCACACAGGCAGGACAGCAGCAGGTCTATAGCCAAGTTTACCAGTTCTGAAGTCTGCAGCATTTCCCCCATACCATCTCCCTCTCAATTTTTGTCTAATTTGCACCCCCTTCTTCTGAAGCTAAGCTGTAGCTACTCTGTCTTTAAGTTCTATTGAATCAAGCACTTTTACCAAAATGTTGTGATTACCCTGATGCAGAGAGTGTGCCTTGGTCAGCAAATAAGCACCATGAATCTCTCAAAATCGTCCAGACTTCCTCTCCCTCCGGACCTTCTTTCCCAGACCATCTCATAGACATGCTTCCGGAAACACTTAATTGGAGTCTCTAGGAGCAATCACAGCGGAGGTGGAATTCTTGTTGTCTTAATGTAATCAAGTCCTGATATTTTTCTTCAGTGTGTGACCAGAGTAGGAGTCAGAAACTGGGCTGTTACCCAGCTCCATCTCAGTCACGGGTATGTCCTTGAGCAAATCCTCAAAACTCCTGCTCCCTAGAATTCTGATGTACCAGCTAGAAAAGGGTATACCAGATAGCTAACTTTTGGGCTTCCCAGCAGGCACATAAGTGATTATATAATCTGGATTTACAATTTCATAGGGACTTAGGTTCTGAAGTCTAACTGCTTGGGTTGAAATTCTGGCTCTATCACTCACTGTGTGACCCTGGGCAAGTTACTTACCCTCTCTGTTCTTTAGTTCACTTATCTGTCAAATGGGGTTAAATTACAGAATTTAATTTGAAGAGTAAAGTGATTAAAACAATGGCTGACGCATTCCAAGTACTTGATAAATGTCATTATTATTATTCTTAGCTTGTGGCTCAGTGCTAAGAGGTTAGAAATCCCTAAATGCCCTGATTCCTGAGCAGAGATGACCCCTCACCCGCAGAACTAACTCTCTCTCCGCTTTTCTTCCGCCGCCTCCTCCACGCTCCTCTCCACTCCCCACACCCACCCTTCTCAACCTCCGAGTCCCTCAAAGAAGAGTCCCCAAGGAGTGTAAATGGAAGCCACCCTGCCTGAGGGGAGAGAGGCCGAGCTCACACAGTTGGACCAGGCTCACAGTGACCAACTGAGCCATGCAAGGCCAGGCCGGCAGTGGGGTCACCCGAGAAATCGGCTGGGTCACCAGCCCATTCATGGCCACCTGGCGTCCTGCCCATCCCTCACCCTCAGGGCCGCCGGGACTATTGTGAGGGCGAAGTCCTCCTGCTCTGCTGGGTGTAGCCCTTTGGACCCCACAGAGGCCCTGGCTGCCCACAGCTGCCCCTAGAAGGGGCTCACACCCATCGGAGGGGGGGCCTCATTCTTGCATCTGGACTCAGAGAAGAGCCAGAGGCGGGAGGGGAAAGGGAGGGGGGTGGGCAAGCGCTAGGATTTCTGCCACCAGCTGGACTCTTTACGATGAAGGGCAAGCACTGAGGAGAGAAACTGCCCAGCTCCAACACAGCTTCCTCACAGTGCCACCCTGCCTGGGCCCCGGGCACCAAGCCCCTCCACACCTCAGCTTGCTGAGAGAATGGGATGAAACAACGTGTGGAAAACTTAGAAAACAAGAGAAACTCACAATAAATCTCAGCTATTATTATGAAAAAAAAAATCCACTTATTCCTCACAACAATGCTCTGAGGTAGAAGATGTTCTATTTTCCTGATGAGGAAACTGAGGCTCACAGCGCTCCTATATTTGGGGGTCTGGGTTCAAATGCAGCTCTGACCCCCACGTCTGTGCTGTCACCATAGCACCCTCTGCCCTGGGGTTCCAGGCGGCCACACTCCAGCACATTCTCCTCTGGTAGAGACAAAAGCTATAGGGTTTGTCCATTCAGCCAGTATCCAGGCTGTGCCAGGCACTGTCTCAGGGGTCCGGGGTGTAGTGGGGGGGGCAGGGTAACAGATGCCGTATCTACACTGAGAAGCTTACAGGAGTAAGCGTCATTCCCACATCAAAGGAACGCTCTAAAGTGCCATCCAGTACGGAAGCCACTTGCCACAGGGGGCTTATGAACTGACTTTGAATTAATTGAAATTAAACAAATGAATAATCCAAGTCTTCCATCAACCAGCCAAGTGCCCGGCAACCCATGTGACTGGTAGCTGCGCACTGGACAGCACCAACAGAGAGCATTTCCATCATGGCCGACGCTTCCACCAGAGGGTGCTGCTCAAGAGGAAAGGCATCCAAACTATGAGCTCTGGGGACTCAGACGCTGAGAGGCTCCCCTGAGGAAGTGGCACTGGAGCCAGAACTGAAGCATGGGGAAATCAAGTGGAGGAAGGCTGGGGAAGGACAGGAAAGCCCTGTGGGCAAGAGAAACAGTGCCCGTAAAGGCCAGCGGTAGGAGGGCCCCCTGCAACTGGAAAGGAGAGACAGAGAGTGGAGTGCTTCAGCGCCCAGGCTCCCCAGGGCTGGCTGCCTGGGTTTGAATCCCAGCCCTGGCGCTTCCAAGCTGAGTGCCCTTGGATAAGTTACATGACTTCTCTGTACCTCACTGTCTCCCCCTGTCAAATGAGGATAGTGATAGTACCTCCCTCCCAGGCTTGCTCTGACGACTGAAAGAGCCCAGCGCATGTTTAGCACTGGATGTGTGTTTGTTGTTACAATTGCTGGCCCAAGATGAGGTCGAAGAGGTAGGCAGAAGTCAGACTGTGCAGGCTTTGTGGGCCGTGGAAATAATCCGGTCTTTATCCTAAAAGCAAAAAGAAGCCTGAAAAGTTTTAAGCATAGAGGCCAGAGGGTGGCCGGTGGAGAACCACAGCCCACCTGAAGGCTGCAGTGGCCTCCAGGCAACACGAGCCAGGTGCTGGGGTGTACGATAGTGGACTCAGCATCACCAGACCTTCCAAGGGGCTGGAAATTCATATTTTTTTAACATAAAAATCTCCTAACATTTTAAAGTAGGCCTCTTATTCCCAAATTTTTAAGTACCTTGAGGAACAAACCAGGCATCTGCTAGGACATCTGGTCTCCCCCACAATCTGCAGCTCCTCAAACCTCAATAAACTGAAGTCCATAATTCAAGTCATATTGCCAGATGAGCCAGGTGGCTCCGCAAAGAAACCGATAGACCGCCTGGAACAAAAATGGCACGCCAAAAAAGCTGCCAAATGAAATCTGAACCGAACTGCTACATCATTGGGCTGGAGGATCCCAGTGCCGGAGTAGAAGTGCCCATGGATAAAAGCATAAACAAGCTGCATGGCCTTTTTGTTTTTTAAGTTTGGGGTGGTAAAAAGAAAATATATGAAAACCCGTATTCTCTTCACTCTGAGGTTGTGAAATGAATTTTTTCTCCATCCCTTCACAGAGTCTGGGTCAATCCTTTCACCCAAAAAAAAATATATAGGCAGCAGGTGTTCATTTGGGGGTCGATGGTCCATGTCATTTCCTGGTTCCAGATTATAAAACAAAACCACTTCATTAGGACATAGTATTGAGTGAAAGAGCAGGAGAGGGCATAAGAGGACAGACTGATTCTATGAAATGAAATGCTTGAATGAGAAAGCCTTATGCCTGAGCAAGAATCAAGTATTTCAGGTTTTCATTCTTCAGATCCTCACTTTCATTAACCATTGCTTTGTCATAGAGGTTTTTCTTCCCAAAATATTGAGTATCTGACATGGGCCCTAGGACCTGGAGCTCTAGGAGAACTGGTAGTATTTATTAGTTGTCCTCTGGTGGATGGAATATGCATCCTTTCACCTAAAAAATATAGGCAGCAGGTGTTCATTTGGGGGTCGATGGTCCATGCCACATGCATCCAGTCAGAGGAGAAATAGTGAATACATCGGTGATGGCTGTTACACCAGATTAAGGGAGAGAGCCCACTAAGCAATTGTTCTAGGTGATAAAACATTTGTAACAAAGACAATGAAGAAAAATCATGACAGGTTTTTGTATGTTATTCTCCCCCCCAAGTCCAGTCCTCTAATCAGGAAGGAAAAGTGGGCATTGGGTTTCTAAGGGAAGGTTTTTTGAATACTGAGAGAGTGCTTTAGAAGAAAGAAGCTTCTGACACTTTCTCTAATACTGGACCTCCAAGGATTAAGCTTAGGAAAGTGCCATTTAGAAAGACTGGATTGCATCTCAGGAGGGTGGGGTATTTCACTGGGTGAAGTATGTCTGTTTGGGCTAGCACTGAACTGAGCTGAGAGTAGATCTGAGGCTCAGGGTTGCCAGGAGATTTAAACTCCTTTCCATTCTCCTCCACCACCCCAACACTTCCTGCAGGTGGATGATGGACAGGTAGGTTATCCACTGGCTTAGGGTGCCTGTTTGCCTCAGTCCAGCTTTGAGAGAATAGAATGTATGAGTCACCATACAGAGACATACACAGAATGCTCCCAGATCCTAGATCAAGAACGCCTATCTGAGTCATACTAGAGCAGAGTTATTAACCTGCAGAGTGTAGATAGAATTTAGGGGCTCCTTGAACACGGAAGAGAGAAAGATTGTCTTAATGTTTGCTAACCTCTAAGTGAAACGAAACACACTCTTCTATTATGAATGTAGGCAAGAAACCTCCGTGGTATTAATAGTACCTGTGACTTTGCCACAAACTGTAATTGCAGCTATTGTCATATCGTATTTCATTGGTGGCAGAAACCTTGAAATAGCATTGAAGTGCATTATTGCATGAAAACTATGGCAGTTATTAGACCTGCTGCTGGGTATCGTTATATAATGCATTAATAATGAAGCACATGTATTACTATACCACTAATTCAATTTTATTACAACGTAGTTCAAGACACAAAAAGATTAAAGGCCCATGAACGAGGGGATCCAAGCACAGTCTTTTGAATGACTGTTTGCTTGAGATTAAAGGGCATGAAATAAACCAGGCAAAGGAAAGGGATAAGAGGATGGCATTTCAGGCGAGGGAATAGCATTTGTAAAAGCACATGCTTTGCAGACACTGTAATTGTTGTGGCTGCAGAGGGCCTCTTAAGCTGAAGAAGTTGAGGGGCCTGGGAGTGTGGCTGGAAACCCATTCAGCACCGGCCTCGCCATCACAGAGGGCCCCAGATTCAGACTGGACCCTAATCATCAAATGAGATGATATAAACACTGAACTTTTAATGTGTGTGCTAAAATGTGTTAGTGAACCAAAACACTTATGCCACAATTTTCCTAACCCTATGTTGGCATGCCTTCATTGTTCCTCAGGGAACGCTAGCCCAGGCATCTTTTGACTTCTGAGGGAGTAAAGTTGGCCAAGAGGGAAGGATTTACTGGAGGTGGGGAAAGACTTGAGTCAGCAAAGTAAACAAGAGTTG